ATTCATTCCTTCACTACACATCACTCGCAAGCGGTGAGGTAGGCAGTTGGAAGCCTGGATGTGAGTTTTGTCTACCCGCCTAGTCATTCTTGAGATTGGAACTCGAGTTAGAGATGCCGAGCAGTGTTGATGATGTTCAGTGAACGGTTGATGTTTGGTGTTGATGCTTGCACTCACTGAGGCAAGGATGATGTTGTTCCAAGCAACTTTTTGGTGCCGGGAGTTTTGCTATTCAAATAATTTTCTTAGTTAAAACGAGCATATAACGCAAAATCAACTGGAGTCTCGACTACCAATTAAGATACTCTTCAAGCGTGTTTTTTGGTAGAAATCCTTTCATTCCCATCATGTTAAGAGTGTTGTAGTATTTTAATGGTTCCGGGAAGCTGATCGGATGGATCAGACGTCGGGATCCAACGACAACATACATCAGTTGAGTTAATAAAAGCATTGTCGAAGCGTTTTCTGTCTGCAGTGATTTTTGTTGAAAGAGGGATGAAGATTTAACAACATGCCGTCAGTTATTCTATTCTTTGTGTAAAAACCCATTTGGAATTTAAATGTACTTATTCATATTTAATTTTATTGTTAATCAGTCAAATAATTATTTAAACAAGTAATTAATGAGCTAACCAATCAACTAATCAGCCAATAATTGAATTAATGTACACATAACTACAAAAAACACTTCAAATTCTTTCCAATCTGAAGTTTCAAATATTAAGATCATCACACGTTCACGTTTGCAGAGCTACGGGCGGGATGTTGCACGTACAGCAGCTAATTAGATCTCGCTTGTGCTTAGATTGCTCATGAGTCGAGTGCCTCGCTACTCACTCACGTACCTTCCGTACATTCATCGCTCCAACGAAACTCATCTAAACAAGAAAATAATTTTTAGGTTTATTTTTCTTTCATTACTTTTCAACTTTTTAATAAACCACACACACAACTTACCTATTTCACTGATTGCACGCACACACACACACACACGCACACACACGGTACGGCACAGACAACCCATATAACACATATTAAATTGTTGCAGCACAGCCACCACAAACAAATTATGTTAGACATTCACCAGAACAACTGCTATTTAACAACAACACCCACAACCTACAAACAACCTGCAACAGTAACTTTAAATCTCAAATCAACTCCATTTCACTACTTTTAAAAACATCAGCAACAAAAACATATAAGTCAACAACAAAATAATTTCAACAAGCCAACCATTCAACAAACCAACCAATCAATCAACAAATCAACTAACCAGCCAGCCAACCATCCATTCAACAAACCAACCAATCAATCAACCAGCCAAC